GAACTCCATGAAACCAAATTAGACCCCAAATAAATACATAAACCACCTGTAGAATGCCTAGTATCTGGATTGCCAGCATAATCCGCATAAAAAAAAGCATTAAGTTGCATATTACCAGGCTTATACACCAAACCATGATCATAAGTGGCCTTCAAATACCTTAGTGTTCATTTTACAACCGTCCAGTGAGTGTTCTTTGGTGAATGCATGAATTGGCAAACCTGGTTAACGACATAAGACAAGTCAAGACGCGTTATCGTCAAATATTGCAAAGCACCCACAATACTCCTATATGTTTATGGATCAGGATGAGGGTCTTCATTATGAGCACTCAATTTGTGTCTAGAAGGTGTTGGAGTTGAAATAGGCTTTACATCAGCGAATTTGGTTTTCTTCAATAAATCAAGAGCATATTTTGTTTGATTTAGATGCATATGATTCTTAAAATAAGTAACTTCAACTCCCAAAAAATAATGTAGGGGCCCCAAATCTTCATAGAAAACAAGGTGCCAAGCTTCGTTATTAAATTCTTCATTTGAACTGGATTGTTTCCCGTTATCAATATATCGTCCACATAGATTAATAAAATCAAGTAGACTCCACGATGATTAAACACAAATAAAGAATAATCCATCTTGACTCCTGGAACCCTAGTTACAGCAAAAAATTTGAAAACCGTTGGAACCAAGCACGAGGTGCTTGTTTCAAACCATATAAACTCTTTTGCAACTTGCATACATGATTGGGAAATTGTTTATCAATAAAACCCAGTGGCTGCTTCATGTAAATATCCTCTGCAAGATGGCCATGCAAAAATGCATTCTGAACATCCAGTTGATGGACCAACCACTTATTCGAAACTACAAGATTAAGAACCAATCGAATGGTACTATGTTTGACAACTGGACTGAACGTTTCATTGTAGCCAATCCCTTTCTGTTGGTGAAAACCATTAGCTACTAACCTTGCCTTATGACGTTCAATTGAGCCATCAACACATTGTTTGATCTTGTAAACCCATCTATTAGGAAGCAAGTTCATGGAAGAATAATAAGGTACCAACCTCCAGGTTCCACATCTCTGTAAAGCATTGAACTCTTTCACCATTGCTCCCTCTATTCCTGATGCTTCACTGCTTGACTAAAACAAGTAGGTTCAAGCATTTTTTTATTAGTAGTCACATGCAGTGCATCTTAGGATTAGGTTTTTGGACATCGGCTTTGCTGCGAGTTATCATGGGATGCATTAGAGTTTGTGCAGCAATGGAACTAGTTGATGCACTCACTGGTTCATTTTGTTGGATGGACGACAGTACTTCTTGCTCATTTAGGGATTCTAGAGGTGGTCTATTGTTCGTAGGATTGGAAGGCACTATTGCAGGTTGTCCTAGGATTTCATGTACAACGAGATTTGTTTGTGGAACTATGGGATTTGGCACTGGCTCAATGGGGTTAATGATCTCAATGGAAGCAGGTTGAGAAGATAGAAAACTAAAAAACAAATCATGTGAGGAATCCAAACCTGTTTTATTGACGCAACCCTCGGTAGGTGTGAGCTCTTGGAAAGGAAAAGAGTCGTCATCAAATAGGACATGGCGAGACAAATAAACTCGTCTCGTGGATAAATCCAAGCATTTTTATCTTTGATGGTTAAGTGAATATCCTAAAAACACACAAGACTTTGATTTGGACTCAAGTTTATTATTAGTATACGATCTCAACCATGGAAAACAACGACTGCCAAACACTTTAAACATCTCATAGTTAGGCTTCCTTTGAAACAATTTTTCAAATGGTGAACTATTTGAAAGAATTCGAGTTGGAAGTCTATTTATAATATAAGTGGCTGTTTGAAACGCATTGAACCAAAATTTATTAGGAACATGAGCATGAGATAACATGACTAAACCCGTTTCAACAATATGACGATGTTGTCATTCAGCGAGACTGTTTTGTTTAGGGTGTTTAGGGCACGAAAATCTTTGAGAAATTCCATGTAATACAAGAAATTGAGTAAACACAAGACTCTTATACTCTCCTCCCTCATCAGATTGAAGAGTTTTACTAGTACAATTAAATATATTTTCCACTTTCTTTTTAAACGTGACAAACATTGTAAAGACTTGAGATTTTTGGTTAAGGGGAAAAATCAATGAATATCATGAAAATCATCCACAAAAAGCAAATAATATTTATATCCTTCAACTGAAACCACAGGAGAACAGCAAACATCAGAATGTAAAAGTTTTAATGAAAGTTTAGAAATAGACTCAGAGGTTCTAAACGGCAATTTAGAAATCTTGCCTAATGGGCATGATTGACAAAACTTTACATCATTGGTGCCATGAACTGGCACTTGATTATTAGAAATTAAAAACTTGATTATTTGAACGGCAAGATGGCCTAAACGAGAGTGCCACTTTTGTGCCGAGACACGAATTCCTGCAAATGCAAACAAAGGATGCTTGGATATTCCACCGCCACTTTGAAATGGGTATAAGCTATTCTCACACTTCCCTTGGGAAAGCGTCATCCGGGTCTTGAAGTCCTTAACAACAAAATGATATGGAAAAATTAGAAGGTTACAATGGTTACCTAGAGTAAATTTATGGGCATATATTATGTTTGTTGAAGCAAATGGACAATGCAAAATATTATGAAGGTTAAACGAGTAAGAAGTAGTATTTATTTGATTCGAACCAGAGTGAGTAATAGAAAGTCCAATGTCATTACCTATACCTTCAATGTTTTCATTACCATTGTACTCTTTGGGATTCACCAAGTTCTGAATATCAAGTGTGATGTGAGCATTTGCTCCTGTATCAAGCAACTAGGAGCCATTGTCTTGGCGATTCAAAATGATTGATGAAAAGGCCATTGCACTCAGACGCTTGGTGGGAATACGGCCTTCATACGCAACGTTCATGCATTGGTAACAATCAAGGGCTAAATGCCCTTCCTTTCCACATATCTAGCAAGTAATACGACTACTTCCACACCCAAACCGATCACCATTACCACTAGGAGCGTGTTGATAGTTATTGTTGCAAGAATCGGAAACTTGTGGATTGACACCTCCATGATTGGATGGAAAACCACCGCGTCCAGTGCCACGAGAATGTCCAACACGTCCTCTCGCTACTACAAAAGCATTAACCGGGGCTGATTCAACTAGTGGGAGAGTTTGTTCCACCATCTTCCTTTCCGTAGTCAAGAGAAGAGCTTCAAGAGTTGGGTACATGATAGGTGTATCACGTGCCTGAGCATCATTAACAGTCATTTCAAATGCATGACCAAGGTTGTTCAAAATGATTTGGACGAGTTCATCATCGTCCACAAGCTTACCAGCTAAAGCCAAATTGTCAGCAATCGCATTCATCTTGTCAAGATAATAATAACATAAAGGTTATCCAATAAAAACTGCTGACCAAGTAAACAAACTCAAGAGTTTGTACTGAAGAGGATTCACGACTCAGTCTTTCAGTTGCATGTTAACAGCTTAACAAAGTACACTGCCAGATTTAATAATTAATATATGCCATTACCAAACATGTTGATATTATTTGGAATAGAATTTTAATTTTGTTATATATGTGTGTGTGTGTGTGTGTGTGTGTATGTATGTATGTATGTATATTTAAAAAAAAAAAAAAAAACCATTAACAAGTAATCCTAATGTGAGTGGATTGGATCAGAAAGATGCAAAATTAGTACTTCCAGATATATCAGGTGTCCAAGTCTTTTGCTCTACTTGGCGTTATTTTGGCACAAATTATATATGCTAAAACTCAGTTGATGAATACTGTTCATTAACAGTGATCTGACGAATTTGCCCCTGCTTGGTCTGTTTAATTTCAATTGCGCCATGTTTTACACGTGTTTGTCATCGGTGAAATGGAAGCAGGCTGAAAAATCTGGGGTGTTCCCCCTGCTTCTTTGCTCTTCTTTTCCTCTTCTGGACTGTTCTTTTCCATCGACTTCTCTGTCACTATCTCGCAACCAGCTACAACACCAATTCACCCTTCATTTCTCCCGCTTCACCTCCGTGGGTTCCATAAGATGCTGGAAGCATATTTCGTTTCTCTCTTTCTTCTTTTTCTCTTCCACCTTTTCCTTTGCCGAAGCAACTAAAAATCAAAAACCTACTCACGGCTTCTTTCTCTCAATTTCGGAGCTTCTCTCTCTTCCATTCTCTCTTTCTCCCCTCCATTGAAGCACCTCCATACACAGGTATCGTTTCTCCCGTAATTATATATTTAATTATTTGAAAATTAGTTCTTCTGTGTAAAATTCTTAAGCTTTTGATTACCTGCAATTTTCAATTTTCTACGATATAGGATTTTTGGATAATTTCATGATTTAGTGATCCTACTAATGATATATCAAGTAGAATCAATATGAGGAATAGATTCTTCAATTTCGTAGCTTCCAAGCCTAGACAAAAGATCATATTCGCGGTTTTTGCGTTTGTTTATGTTTGATTTGCACCGATTTTGGTCGGATCTATTTCTGATTTTGTTTTCCGTTTGAGCACCGGTTGTTTTTGCATCGCTGGGAAGTTAATTTTCTACAACTGAGGTATGTTTTGTAACTGCTGTGTTTTGATTTTTATTATGTGTTTTGATTAATTTTGGATGGAATTGTAACCGTTTGGTTTTGGGTTAGTTCTGTTCCTATGCTAGAGTTTTCCTAGGCTAAAAGGATATTTTGCGGTTTGGTTCCTTGCTTGGTCTGTCTCACATTTACCGAATGTTCCGGCGATCCTATTATTTTTTGGCTAAGTTTGTTCTCTTTTTGTTTTTTTCCTGATTTGACAACTCCTTGGTTGGTGTTTGATTAAAATGTGTGTGTAATTTTTTCGAAGAATTACTGGTGAGATGGATTGACAAGATTCTTGAGTGAAAAACAGGCATTTTAGTGCGGTTAAATAGAAATATAGAGCTTTATTGTAAGAAAGTTATGGACGATTTAATCAAATTAATTGTACTGATAGAGATATGAATGAGCCTAATGTTTATTCTTTTCACTCAAACATCATTATACCATTACAGAAAATCAGGAATTTGAACATTAGCTTGCGACTTTGCCATAGATTTGAACGCCACCAGCTTTGATGCAGTCCTTGGAGACACCCCTGCCTCCTTTGCCATAGTCTAATTCTTCACTCACTGGTCAGCTTTTCTAATTTCTATGTAAACCATTGATTTTATTTGGGAAATAAATGGAACCCCTTATGTTTTTGCTTAAAGTATTGATCTTTGAGTGGTACTCAGTAGATATTAGATCGATTAGAGGTTACCCATTTGAAAAAGAAGATAGATTACATGGATGATGGATCATGTGAGTTTCTCCAATTATTTGAGATCACATGGAAATATGTAAGTTGTCAGAACTAAAATGATCTGAAAGCTTATTGAGAATTGTTGTAATTTGCTTTTCATTGTAGCGTTACTTTCTTAAACTGATTAGAGCTAAAGATTTGCTAATTCCTTAGCATTCAGTGCATATGCTTATTAATGTCTGTTTGTTATCTTAGAGGCATATGGTGGTTTAGTTGCACCCTACACACATGCAGCTTAAGGCTGACCCCAAATTGTTCCTCCTGAAATGATGTTGTGCTTATTTGTAAATTTTGTTGCTCATTTGCAATTCACCTTTTGTCTCTTGATATCTTTTACAGGTGCAAAACGCCATAGAGTATTTAAACATCATCGGGGCCTTGGATGAGAATGAGAATCTGACTTGTTTTAGGTGGGGAGAGATTTATTATTCTTTTAATATTTCAATTATGCATTGTGATGCTTGCAACTCTTTGTAATGGTTGAGAGTTTAAATTTGAAAATCATTAGCCTAATGCAGTTTAAATCACTACAGCTTAAATGCAGGTTGTTATATAAAGCTTAGGATTTAGGTTTTCCAGTTTAATCAAAGCTAATTAGACAGAATCATGAATTAATTAAATGTGGTGTCTTCCTTTCTCCTCTGTTTCTTTTGTTGTTGGGTGAAAGTGAGCATGGGTTTATGATAACCTATTTAAAAGGAAAGCTGTAGAGAGAGAGGGTAATAAAGCAGGTGCATATAGGGACTCAAAAGTTAAGGCATACTGACAGAAAAATGCACAGATCGGTATGGTAAAAATGAAAAAAAATGAAAAGAAAGTGAACCCAATAGAATATAGAAAATGACGTGTTCATCCAGTGGAAAAACCCATACGTGGTGTTTATTTTTAGACAAGATGGGAAGATGTAAACAGTTGGAGGTCCATACCAGTTTCCAAGTTCTTTATTAATGTGAATGTTTATGTTATTCTGATTAGGAACTTAAGTGAATAAATCGTTTTCGAATTTGTAGACAAATAATTGCGTACAAAATAATGAACTCTGTTAAACAAAAATAATTGCTTACAGTAGAGAATAACTGTAAACATTATTGAAGTATACATTTAAATATTTTTAATTTATATAAATAGATAGATTGCTATTGCATTCTGTGCCTAAATCAAATCACTAACTTGAACCATGCTCTTTATTTGGGAACTCTATGTATTTCTTATTTGAATTAGTATGGTTTGTCTTTCAAATTTGATTTCGTGTGATTTCATTTTGATAGATATTTCAGAATTTCAGAAAGCATGTGCGGTTTGATCAATTAAGGCCAACCTGATTTACAGAGGTCTGATTAGAGGTACACTACTAATTACCTCACTTTTCTCCCAAGAGTATGCTGTTTTTTCCGGAAGAAAAAGATTAGCTTGGTTTGATGTCTTATTTGAATTGTGTAGATTTGGTTTGATCTCTTAATTTGTGTTGTGCAAATTTTGTATGAATTAATTTGGGTTGGGCAGAGGAAGCAAATAATTTTTTAAATTAATAAATTTAGTTTGGTTTGTACATATGATGATGGATATTATTTACTGAAGCATGAACATGTCAAGAAACTGTTCGTTTCAAATTATTCATTACAACTTTGCACTAACTGTTTTTGTTATGCCTAACAGTTTTAAAACCCGCAGCATCGCTCAGGCTCCTTTGCTAGTTATATATACTAAAACTCAGTTGATGATCACTGTTCATTAACAGTGAAATGGCGAAGTTGCCCTCTATTTCTTCTTGGTTCTCCGTTCTATTCTCTTCTCGGTGCAGTGAAATGGCCTTTTTGCCCATGTTGGGCACGGGTCCATCATCCTACTTCTTTAGCCTTCAATTAGGTTTTTTATTCCCCTTACCCTTTTGTTGGCTTCTCTCTCGTCGATCTCTGCTTCGATCCATCTTATTTTGTGTTATGTTCTTCTAAAATCTTGCTTTCCTCTCAAATCCTCTGGACTTTATTTCACAAAATATTCACGAAATTGGCCTCTGAAGTTTTATCCTTTGTTCTAAAATCCTGCGGTTCTTATTTTTGTTTTTTGGGGATTTCATTTGCGATCTCCGTTTTCAAATAAGTTGTGTATCCTGTGAACGTAGATTTGTTGACGTTCTGTGGAAACTCATAAAATTGGTTTCCAAGGTTTTATCCTCAACTTGCAATTGCTTGGAAGACTTTATGTCTCTTTTTCCATATGTCATACCGGAGTTGTCGCTGGATTTCCGACGAATTTTCAGCTCAGCTTATTGTGCGATAAATTCTATTGAACCCAGGTGCGTTTTATAACAGCTATGTGTGTGTTTTCTTTTTTTTTTTTGGATTTTTATTGATTTGAACGAACGAAACCCTAACGGTTTGGTTTTACGGTGAGTTGTAGTGTTTTCGAGGCTTTGCCGGCTAAAAGCGGATTCTGCCTTTGACGTCCTCTGTTGAAAAATCTGAAATTTGGCAGCAGCTGGAACCGTTGTTTTGGGTATGGTTTCCGTGCCTCCACTTCTTCATTATTCTGTATGCATTTCTTATTTAAATCATTGGAATTTGTGTGAATTCATTTCGATGGATATCTCAAAATTTGAGAAGGCAGTTGTGCTTTTATCAAATGTTTCTTCGCTTTGTGTGATTTCACTTAAATGGATGCCTCAAGTTTTTTTTATACTCATTTCTGATAATCATGCCTGCTTTTTCCATTGCTATAATTTTTTGAGTATTCTTGCACTCCTGGGGAGATGAAATTCATATTAAATGTGGATCACAAATTTGGGTGTGTATTAGAAGAGAAATATTGGTTCTCCTCTCTTTCCGAATTTATTAATTGGGTCTCTCTCTCTCTCTCTCTCTCATAATTGGTGGGTTAGAGCAGGGGATTAGGGGATTGGTGTCTTGGATGCAAGAACTGGCCAACAACTAAAATTAACAAATTTGCAGAGGTGGAGTTGTTTGGGAAAGCTATTGTTTTCATTCAAGAAATTATTTGGAGTCTTTTGCTGACTTTGTAATCTCCAAATTCTCAACAATGTAGTTGGCAAAAGGAGGGTGTTGTGGTAATTTCCTGAGTAAAATTATGAGTAGAAAGAAACCTTCGTTTTGGACCTTCTCCATGGGATCTAAAACGTATAATTCTAGGGAAGAAATTGGCAATTTAGTGTTAGGGTTTGAGATTGATAAAGTAAATTTTGGATTGGGTTTCCTTGCAATGGCCAACAACACCCTTTTGAATAACTATTTGTATAGTATGATTGTTTTTTAATTCCATTTTTTTTGTTACTGTGGAATGTTGATTACTGATTTTGGATCGCCTATTTGTTTGCTCAAAGAAATTATACATATGTGAAGCAGCGAGCTATTATGGTTGCTACGGTTGTAATACTTATGGTTAAAACGTTACATGCAATGGAGAAATGAGACTTTGTTTGTTTTTGTGAAATTAACTATATTTATTAAATTCAATTTACTTTTCTGAGCTAATGATAAGTGATCATTTTTTTCAATAGGATTTGAAAAGCAATTAGTTATTCTGGTTTCTAAGCTGTTTGTTTCTAGCTTCCAAAACGCTCTCTGCTCAAGGTTAGTAATTTAAACTTCTAGAATGATTTAATTGAAAGTTTAATTATATAGTTTTCTATAGTTTAAGTCAACTTTCGTTTACTGTTTATATTAGATGAGAGCTATATTGTTTTTGCATATGTTTCGTGTCTTAATTGATTTTTTTTTTTAAATCTATTTTGCAGTTGTTTGTTTTTCAAATAACAGTAACAGTTTGTTTCCATCATGTCTAAAAAGCCTATAAATGGTCAAACAAATGATGCTATAAAGCGAAAACAAAATATCACTGATGACAAATATGATAATACATTGTTTGAGCATAATCATCAATCAAAAAGAGTGTGTAGAACTACTTATATCCATAATTCTCAGTGCTCCACCAGCAGACCTTCTGCTAAGCACTGCGCCATTGAATGTGTTGATGATGAAATGCTAGATGTGACCCCACTTGAAAAGAAATTGTACACACGTCATCGAAAAGGGAAAAACGTTGTTAGTTTGTCAAATAATGCTCAAAACAGAGTTGAAAAAACCTTTGCTGGTGACAATTGTAGTCTTATGAATAAGGGTCAAGCCTTATTCCAAAAAAATAGAAACGGTACGTTTTAAATTCTGTACATCATTAAGTTTTAACTTTAGCATTTACTTAATTGTATGTTGTGATTATATATATATATTTTTTGGCATGTGTATTTTTGTAGGGGTTGTGAAAGATTATGCGGACTTGGGTGATAAGAGTTATAAATGTGTTGACTGTGGTGCATATTTTTGGTTAAAAGAGTCGCTTAAACAAAGTTGGAAAAAAAATCAACCCATTTTCACTCTTTGTTGTCAACAAGGAAAAATTAAATTTTCAACTCCAAAGCCAACGCCGATTTTTTTAGATTCCTTGCTTGATCCGAATGGAGGTCAAAAAAGTTTATCATTTCGAGAAAATATTAGAGCTTATAATTCTATGTTTTCATTTACTTCAATGGGAGCGAAAGTTGATCATTCAATTAATGATGGGTCAAGTCCTTACATTTTTAAAATTAGTGGTCAAGTTTATCATTTGATGGGATCTCTTTTACCCGCTAATAATGAGTCTCCAAAATTTGCTTAGCTATATGTTTATGATACATATAATGAAGTACAAAATCGTCTTAAAGCTGTTGATTGTGATGGAAAAAATGTAAGACTTGATTCAAAAATTGTAGAAAATCTTATTAAAATGTTTGATGAATCAAATGAGTTGGTCAAACTTTTTCGAACGACAAGAGATGGTCTCATCTCTTTGAAAATGATATTGTCAGGAAGACAACCAAATGATGGCAAGCAATATGACCAACCAATAAGTGATGAAATAGGTGGTTTAATAGTTGGTGATATAGGTCTGTCTGACTCTAATAGAGATATCATTATAGACTCTAAAAGTAAAGGATTAAAACATGTTACAAAATTGAATCCAAAGTTTATGGCTCTTCAGTATCCTATTCTTTTTCGGTATGGTGAAGATGGCTATAGACTAAATTTAAAATGGAATGAAAATTATAAAGGTCCAAAAATGAAAAGACAAAGAGTGCCTATGAGAGCTTATATAACTTATCAAATTCAAGAAAGAGAACCATATTTAACTACATTGTTAAAAGGAGGTAGACTTTTTCAACAATATTTGGTAGATTCTTATGCAACACTTGAAGAAGATAGATTGGATTACATTAGACAAAATCAAAAAAATTGAGAAGTGAAGTTTACAAAGGAATTTACGATGCAATATCAAGACGTGATAATGATGCAAGTAGTTTGGGACAAAAAATTGTGTTGCCTGCTTCATATACAGGAAGTCCTAGATACATGATTAACAATTATCAAGATGCTATGGCTATCTGTAGAGAACATGGACATCCTGATTTGTTCATAACATTTACCTGTAATGTAAAGTGGCCAGAAATTATGGGAGAAATTGCAAAAAAATCGGGATTCAAACCTGAGGACAGACCTGATATAATTTCCAGAATATTTAAAATGAAACTTGATGATATGCTTGACTTCATCAAATCTGGAAAGCCTTTTGGAGAAGTTGAAGCAAGTGAGTACCAAAAACTCATTTTCTCCTTACTGTAATTTTTTCATTTTTTTGCTTCATAAAACTACCGTTTTTTTTTTTTTTTTTTTTTTTTTGGGGTTTCTTCTATTTTCAATATTTTTGCAAACAGATGTTTGTACAATTGAATTTCAAAAAAAAGGTTTACCTCATTCTCATATGTTAATATGGTTGAAATCAAATTTCAAGTGCTACATTGCATCAGATATAGATTCTATTATTTCAGCTGAGTTGCCAGACAAATTTGTCAATCCTCAACTTTATGAAATTGTTAATCAATTCATGATTCATGGTCCATGCGGTCATATTAATCAAAATTCTCCTTGCATGTGGGAAAATAAGTGTTCCAAAAACTTTCCTAAACCATATAAAAATGAGACAATTTTTGAACCTAATGGTTTTCCAGTTTATAGGCGTCGTGATGATGATACAAAATTTGTTTTAAAAAATGGAATCAAAATTGATAACAGCTTTGTTGTTCCTTATAATCCTGAACTACTTTTGAGATATAATGCTCATATAAATGTTGAATTCTGTTGTCAATCAATGCTTATAAAATATTTGTTCAAATATGTAAATAAAGGTTCAGATAGAGCATGATTAATTCTTCAACAAGATCTAAATGATGAAATATTAACATATCAAAATTGTAGATACATATCACCATACGAAGCTGTTTGGAGATTGTTTCAATATTCTATACATCATAGAGAACCTTCTGTGGAACGATTGCCAGTACATTTACCGTTAGAGCAAAATATTGTTTTCAGTGGCGATCAATCATTGCAATCAATTATCAATCAAAATGCTTTTGAACATACAATATTAACAAGTTGGTTTGAAGCTAACAAAATTTATAATGAAGCACGTTCATTAACTTATGCACAGTTTCCGTCAAAATTTTTATATGATGCACGGGAAAAAATTTGGAAACCAAGAAAACAAAAAGGTTCAATAGGTAGAATAGCATATGTGCATCCAGCATCTGGTGAATTATATTATTTAAGAATGCTTCTGAATTTGAAAAAAGGTGCATTAAACTTTGATGATATAAAAACTGTTAATGGTGTTGTACATAATTCATATCATGCTGCATGTAAATCATTGGGATTGTTAGGCGATGATAAAGAATGGATTGAAGCTTTGTCAAATGCTGTAAATGTAGCGTCATCTGCTCAATTGAGACTATTGTTTGTTACAATAATTTTATTTTGTGATGTAGCAAATCCTCAAATTCTTTTTAATAGTCATTGGGAAAACATGTATGATGATATTTTGTACAAATTACGAAAAACTTTTGCAATTCCTGATATGATTGTACCACAGGATGAATTAAAAAATTCTGTCTTATTTGAGCTAGAATTGCTTTTTAATAATGCATCAACTTCTTTAGACAAATATAATTTACCAATGCCTGATGCAAGAAAAATGTTAGAAATAAAAAATAGACTTTTAAGAGAAGAGTTAAATTATGATTGTGAAGAATTGTAAAAAAAACACAGAGTTTTAAAATCGCAACTTAATGAAGGTCAAAAACATATCTATGATTGTGTTATAGATACTGTAAATAAAAGAAAAGGACTATTTTTTGTCTATGGTCATGGAGGTACTGGAAAAACTTTTTTATGGGATGCTATAATAAGTAGACTTAGATCTGAAGGAAAAATTGTTTTAGCAGTGGCATCATCCGGAATAGCATCGTTGTTATTACCAGGTGGTAGAACATCTCATTCTAGATTTAAAATTCCCTTGGTTATTACTGATTCTTCAATTTGTCCAATAAAAAAGAAAACTCATCTTGCTGGATTAATTGAAAAAACAGATTTAATTATATGGGATGAAGCACCTATGATTCATAAACATTGTTTTGAAGCATTGGATAAATCACTTTTTGACATTTTGTCACATTTACATGGTTCACAAAATAATATCCCATTTGGTGGTAAACCTGTTTTATTAGGTGGTGATTTTCGACAAATATTACCTGTTATACCTGGAGGAACCAGAGAAGATATAATAAATGCTTCTCTAAATACTTCTTATTTGTGATCACATTTTAAAATTTTTCATTTGAAAGAAAATATGAGGTTATCAAGAAATGGATTAAGCAATGAAGAAAAGAAAAAAATCAATGATTTTGTATGACATCCCACATCGCCTAGGGGAGTGATCCTTATATGTATATTTTCATCCCTACTTAGCACGAGGCCTTTTGGGAGCTCACTGGTTTCGGGTTCCATTGGAACTCCGAAGTTAAGCAAGAAGGGGGCTAGAGCAATCCCATGATGGGTGACCCACTTGGAAGTTGCTCGTGAGTTCCCAAAAACAAAACCCTAAGGGAATGGTAAGCCCAAAGCGGACAATATCGTGCTACGGTGGTGGAGCGGGCTCGGGAAGTGATCCGCTCCGGGCCGGGATGTGACAATTGGTATCAGAGCCTAACCCTGGTCGCGTGTATGCCGACGAGGACGTCGGGCCCTTAAGGGGGGTGGATTATGACATCTCACATCGTCCAAGGGAGTGATCCTTATATGTATATTCCCATCCCTATTTAGCACGAGGCTTTTTGGGAGCTCACTGGCTTCGAGTTCCATTGGAACTCTGAAGTTAAGCGAGAAGGGGGCTAGAGCAATCCCATAATGGGTGATCCACTGGGAAGTTGCTCGTGAGTTCCCAAAAACAAAATCGTGAGGGAATGGTAAGCCCAAAGTGGACAATATTGTGCTACGGTGGTGGAGCGGGCCCGGGAAGTGATTCACCCCAGGCCGGGATGTGACATTTTGCAAATTGAATTTTACAAATAGGTGATGGAAAAATTAGTGATATAAATAATGAAGATAATCAAAATGACAAAGACACATCTTTAATTGAAATACCTAAAGATTTGATAATTAATTCTTCTGGAAATCCAATTTGTTCAATCTTTCGTGCAACTTATCCCAATTTTGAAATTTCTTTTGACAATTTTGTTTATTTAAGAGAACGTGCTATTGTAACACCTCGAAATACAACTGTTGCAGATATAAATAATTATATAATTGATTTGTTACCCGGAGAACAACATGTGTTTCTAAGTTATGATTCTTTATGTTCTTCAAATGGAAATATCGAAAATCTAGAAACATTGTATCCTGTTGAGTTTTTAAATAAACTGGATTTCAATGGTTTACCTACACATAACCTAATTCTAAAAATAGGAATGCCAATTATGCTGTTACGAAATTTAAATCAATCTTTAGGTTTATGTAATGGAACTAGATTAGTTGTTACTCAATTATATAATAGAATTATTGAAGCTAAAATACTTGTTGAAAAATATATTGGTCACAAAGTTTTTATACCAAGAATCACTTTTACAGCAACTGAAAGTAAGTGGCCTTTTATTTTTAGAAGACGTCAATTCCCGATCAGACCATGTTATGCAATGACTATTAACAAAAGTCAAGGACAATCTTTGAAACAAGTTGGTTTATATCTTCCTGAACCTGTTTTTACACACGGTCAATTATATGTTGCATTATCCAGAGTGACATCAAAAGAAGGTCTAAAAATTTTAATAGGAGATGGAGAAAATAATGTAAACAACTATACTGCAAACATAGTATTTAAAGATGTGTTACAAAATTTACAATCAAGTTGTTAGTTTATGTCTTTATATATTTGTTGGATACAATTAAGGCAACTGTATAATGCTGTTTAAACATAGTTTGAAATCATTGCTAACCATTGTAACTATGTGATTTTTATGTATGCAAGATGAACAATGCAGTCATTGCAAAGTCGAGATAGAAAGCAACATTTGCTCCATGTCGGAAACAAAGGTTAGATTTGTTCTATTTGATAGCTCCAATATTGTTATTCATTATATTGATCCGATTTGATATCATCGAGATGTAATGCATCTCATTGAATTTACAGGCAAAAGATTTATGATCTCTATGTGAGTAAAATCAAATTGGTCACACTCACATATAACAAACTCAGGTTAGCTTCATTGCAACTATTTTTTTTTTTTTTTTTTTTTTTTACTTTGCTTAAATAAAAAATTAATAAGTTTCAGTCCAACTTGATAATTTATTGGAAATTCTTGAATTGGTCATTTTCTTAATCCTCATGATACATATCAATCTTATTTAATAATGAAATAACATACTTATGTTAGCTAAAGTCAAAACAGAAAACTATTTCTTTTACCCGTCCAGTTTAATAAATCAAGTTTACATAATTGGTGTTCAGGTGTGCAATAAGGTATTAAAAAGTTCGTTTTGTTGAAAAGTCTGGTGGGTAATGAATGCCCACAGTATATTAGCAGAAGTTTTCAGCATGGGCAGAAGTTTTCAATGCCCATGCAAAGTGAAAGTGGAATATGAAAATATAAAGAAATTGTATTGTCAAAGGAAGTGTCGTAAGTTTCAAAATGCATTAACTGCATCAGTTTGGAGTTGCTCTATAAATAGAGCACTCCGTATGTTTTTCAAGTTGCAGAAAATATAAGAAGAAGAGAACGAGAGAAAAATATCAGTAACATCATCTATTTCTCTGCCTTTTATTTGTTATCTACTTGTGCTATAGTTTTAGTGTGGTATTTTACATCTACCTTGCACCTACCATTAAAAAAGTTATTCCTCTAACTTTGACCTTTTTATAACACGTTATCAGCACGAGTCTCTAAATATAATTATTCTCTCATCTTTCTTCGCCGAACGAACGAAAGAAAGAAAAAATGTTTCCTTTAAGGTTTTTACTGTTCATCTTTTTCCTCTGCCTCAACTGCGCGGTATACCCTCGCGACGAACTGTTTGCTCCATGCTTGCTCTTAGTTCTCAATCTAACGGTTATATACATCTTTGATTACTTGTTTGGTGTAGAGATTGATTACTAACCCAGTATTTATTTATGTTAATTTTACTGTAATCCAAGATGGTGCGGTACAATCGCCCATCTTGAACTGCAAATTTATTCTTACTACGATCCAAGATGGTGCGGGATCATCGTCTATCTTGGACTGCAGATTTAATTTTACTGCAAATTCTAGGTGGAACGGTATAATCGCCCACCCTACCCTGCATATTTAAATTTATTTGCTGTTTAATTTCATTGCAATTTAGGTGGTGCGGTATAATCGCCCACACTGCTCTGCATATTTAATTCTCCTGTTACTTGAGTGGTGCGGAATAATCGCTCATTCTATATTACATTATTTCAATAAGAATGGTACGGTACAATCGCCATTCTCATTCACCCTGAAAATCTCGAGCCAGAAGTTTCGAGTGCTTATCATTTTGGCCTGAAGATCAAAATGAAAAATTTGTAAGAACCAGAAGTTCTAATATCATATTCCTCCAGGAATACATATTATTGCAAGTTCTTACACATTTCATTTTCTTTCAGAAAAGAAAATGGCGAACTTGATGAAGCTTGAATTTGCTGCCCTGAATATTACCGGGAATAATTACTTGACCTGAGTACTGGATACCAAGATCCATCTGGAAGCAGGGAATCTTGGAGATACCATCAGGGAAGAGAGCAGCTCATCCTCTCAAGATCGGGCAAAGACCATGATTTTCAATCGTCGCCATCTTGATAAGGCGCTAAAGAGCGAGTACTTAACTGTTGAAGATCCGTTAGCTCTCTGGAATGCCTTGAGAAACAGATACAATCACCAGACAACGGTGATTCTTCTAAGGACCCGCTATGAGTGGACTCATCTGAGGATCCAAGACTTCAAGTCAGTGGCAGAGTACAATTTTGCATTGTTCAGAATTACCTCTGAGATGAAGCTCTGTGGGGATATTATTACTGAGGAACATATGCTGGAAAAGACTCTCAACACATTTCATGCCTCCAACGTGCTCCTGCAGCAGCAGTATAGAGCGCGAGGCTACACTGAGTACAACCAGCTGATATCTGTGCTCTTAGTAGCTGAACAGAATAATGAGCTCTTGATGAAAAACCATCATTCCCGACCTACTGGATCTGCACCATTCCCAAAAGTGAATGTTGCTTCCCTCGAAGTGAACACCACATCCTTTGGTGGTAATAATCATAAACGAGGACGTGGCCACAAGCGAGGTCGATGGAATAGGAAAGGCAAGAACCATGGAGTTCAGTTTCACAACCAAGTTCCGAGGCATAATTCAGGCCCGAGCTTCAAAAATACGAATCACCACAAAGGCAAAGCTCATATGAACAATGCTCCTAGAAACTCTGAAGGAGCCTGCCATAGGTGTGGTGGCAATGGGCATTGGGCGCGTACTTGTCGTACCCTAAAACATCTAGTGGATCTGTATCAAGCCTCCCTCAAGGAAAAGGGTGTCGAGACCAATTTTCTCGACCAGGCTAGACCAATGGATATACCTGATCCAGTGTTTGACTTATCAGGGCAGTTGAACACAACTCATCTAGATGTTCCAGACTTTATTGTGGAAATGGGAAATGAAGTATACCGGTCCAATTGAATCATTAATTTACTTTTATTATGCTGAACTTGTAGTATTTCAAATTCAATAAAAGTGGCATGTAAATTTCTTGTTATAACTTGTTTTTAACTCTGATTCTCTTACTCAGACAGCATGGATAAAAACTGTGGTTATTCTCAAAACATGAGAAATGGCGGAGATATTTGTCTTGCAGACAATGCAACCACACATACAATACTTCGTGATCAAAAGTATTTCTCAAGCTTAATACTTACAAGAGTAGGGATAACAACAATATCAGGACCTTCAGATGTAATTGAAGGTTCAGGGTAAGCCCAGATTATGTTACCAAATGGAACAATATTGTCCATACAAAATGCATTGTATGCTACTCGATCTACTCGAAATTTGTTGAGTTTCAAAGACATACGTTTAAATGGATACCACATTGAAACAAAAAGTGCAGAAAATGTGGAGTATCTATGCATTACCTCCAATGATACCCAGAAGCGTATATTGGAGAAGTTGTGTGGTATGTCGAGTGGATTGTATTATACATACATAAGGACAATTGAATCACATATTGTCATGAACCAGAAGTTCATTGATTCAAGAGTTTACATGCATTGGCATGACCGTCTGGGTCATCCAGGATCTACCATAGTGCGTAGGATCATTACCAACTCTAATGGACATCCATTAGTGAGCAGACACATTGCTGCCTCAAATGATAACCCTTGCAAAGTTTGTTCTCAAGAGAAGTTGGTAATTAGACCATTATAACTAAAGGTTGATGCTGAATCCCCATCATTTCTGCAAAGAATTCAAGGGGATATTTGTGGGCCTATTCAACCATCATGTGGACCATTTCGATATTTTATGGTTTTAGTTGATGCATCTACCCGATGGTCACATGTTTGTCTCTTGTTTACCCGGAATGTAGCATTTGCGAGACTTCTTGCTCAGATAATTAAGTTACGAGCACAGTTCCCAGATTATCCCATTAATTCAATCTGACTTGATAATGCTGGTGAATTTACGTCTCAAACCTTTGATGATTATTGCATGACATTGGGCATTGATGTTGAACACCCTATTCCTCATGTCCATACTCAAAATAGTTTAGCAGAAGCATTGATCAAGCGGCTTCAGTTAATAGCTCGCACTCTGCTTATGAAAACCAAATTGCCAGTCTCTGCATGGGGACATGCCATCTTACATGCTGCATCATTGGTTCGATTGAGACCTATAGCTAACCATCAATACTCTTCAGTACAACTCGTGTTTAGATATCAGCCAAACATTTCCCATTTACGAGTTTTTGGTTGTGTTGTTTATGTGCTATTGCACCGCAGCAACGCACTAAAATAGGACCTCAGTGTAGACTGGGAATTTACGTGGGTTTTGATTCACCATCTATCATTAGATATTTGGAACCCTTGACAAGTGATATGTTTACAGCTCGTTTTCCTGATTGTCACTTTGATGAGACAATTTTCCCGTCGTTAGGGGGAGAAAAGACCGTTCCAGAAGAACGGAAAGAGCTGACATGGGTTGTTCCCACCTTGTCTCATTTTGATCCTCGCAGCATTCAATGTGAAAATGAAGTGAGAAGGATCGTTCATCTTCAAGGCATTGCCAATCAAATGCCAGATGCATTTAATGATGCTATGAAAGTGACAAAATCACATATACCAGCTGCAAATGCACCTGTAAGAATTGATGTCCCTATTGGACAAAATAAAGTGGTAGCGAATGATTCATCTGGTGCACGCCTGAAGCGTGGTAGACCCCCAGGCTCAAAAGATTCAGCCCCTCGAAAGAGAAAGTCGAGGGCACAACTGAATCCAAATGAAGTCATTCAGGAAGAGAAAATGAATGATACATCCACAATTCATGATTCTGGACTTCCAGAAAAAGAAAATGTCCTTGATGAGACATGTCCCTGAAGAGACAGAAGTACATGAAAGCAAAGAAATCTCCATAAATTATGCACGTACAAATGAATTGTGGGATCGGAATGAAATAATCATCGATGATATGTTTGCATTCGCAGTAGCCACTGAAATCATCTTAAGTGATGATATTGAGCCCCGTTCTGTTGATGAATGCAAACAGAGACAGGATTGGCCTAAGTGGAAAGATGCAATCCAGGCAGAATTAAATTCCTTGGAAAGGCGGAATGTTTTTGGACCAGTAGTCCAAACCCTACCTAGTGTAAACCCTGTGGGTTACAAATGGGTATTCATAAGGAAACGCAACGAGAAAAACGAGATCGCAAGAAACAAAACACGAATCGTTGCACAAGGTTTTTCTCAAAGACCTGGAATTGATTATGAGGAGACATATTCTCCTGTAATGGATGCAATTACGTTCCGTTACTTAATAAGTTTAGTAGTTTCAGAAAGACTTGACATGCGACTTATGAATGTCATCACTGCGTATCTATATGGAGAATTAGATATTGACATCTATATGAAAATCCCAGAAGGACTTAAGTTGCCTGAAACAAGTAATAAACCACGAGGTATGCTCTTGATCAAATTAAGGCGATCATTGTATGGTCTGAAACAATTTAGACGAATGTTGTATAATCGTCTCAATGAGTATTTGATCAAAAAATGGTATATCAACAATGTCATTTGCCCTTGTGTGTTCATTAAGAAATCCAATTCTGGATTCGCTATAGTGGCAGTATATGTTGATGATATAAATCTAGTTGGAACTCCTGAAGAGCTCAATAAAACTGCTGAATATCTGAAAAGCGAATTTGAAATGAAAGACCTTGGGAAAACAAAATATTATCTCGACCTGCAGATCGAGCATTGTGCTAGTGGAATTTTGGTCCACCAATCAGCTTACATTGAAAAAATTTTGAAGCGATTTGGTATGGACAAGGCTTATCCACTAAGCACGCCAATGGTCGTTCGTTCTTTAGACATTAAGAAAGATTCATTTCGTCCAAAAGAAGATGATGAGCTGGTCCTTGGTCTAGAAGTACCGTATCTGAGTGCAGTAGGTGCTTTGTTGTATTTAGCACAGTGTACTAGACCAGATATAGCTTTTTCAGTTAACTTGTTAGCAAGGTATAGCTCTGCTCCAACAATTCGCCATTGGAAAGGTATCAAAGATGTATTGCGATACCTTCGTAGGACAACAGACATGGGTCTCTTCTACTCAAAGAACTCCACAAATGATCAGGTCCTTGTTGGATATGCAGATGCTGGTTTCCTCTCTGATCCCCATAAAGCCCGCTCACAAACTGGATATGTGTTTAAGAATGGAGATACAACAATCTTATGGTGCTCAACCAAGCAAACATTAGTTGCTACATCTTCAAATCATTCAGAAATACTTGTTTTACATGAAGCAAGTCGTGAATGTTCTTGGTTAAGATCAATGATCCATCATATCCGAAATTCATGTGGTCTAACTTCAAAGACAGACAATCCAACTGTCATCCATGAAGATAATGCAGCCTGTGTTGCCCAAATGAAGGAAGGATTCATCAAGGGCGATAAGACTAAACACATATCTCCAAAGTTTTTCAGTGCACATGAGCTTCAGAAGGCTAAAGTTATTGAAGTCAGACAAATCCGTTCAAATGAAAATCTGGCAGACTTATTCACCAAATCTCTACCAAAGTGCACATTTCAGAAATTAGTGTAAGGCATCGGATTACGTCGACTTACCAAATAGCTAAATTTGGAGAATGCGGAATCAGGGGGAGATACATATCAGGGGAGCATCCATGATACATGCTTGTTGTACTCTTTTTCCTTCGATTATGATTTTTCCCACTGGGTTTTTCCTATCAAGGTTTTAACGAGGCAACATAAGCATACTTGACACTATATCAATGATCCAGGAAAGTCGTACTCTTTTTCCTTCGCTATGGTTTTTTCCCACTGGGTTTTCCTAAGCAAGGTTTTAACGAGGCAACTCATGTTGATATGTGGGCATCCAAGGGGGAGTGTTAAAAAGTCTGGTGGGTAATGAATGCCCATAGTATATTAGCAGAAGTTTTCAGCATGGGCAGAAGTTTTCAATGCCCATGCAAAGTGAAAGTTGAATATGAAAATATAAAGAAATTGTATTGTCAAAGGAAGTGTCGTAAGTTTCAAAATGCATTAACTGCATCAGTTTGAAGTTGCTCTATAAATAGAGCACTCCATATGTTTTTCAAGTTACAGAAAATATAAGAACAAGAAGAGAACGAGAGAAAAATATCGGTAACATCATCTATTTCTCTGCCTTTTATTTGTTATCTACTTGTGCTATAGTTTTAGTGTGACATTTTACATCTACCTTGCACCTACCATTAAAAAGGTTATTCCTCTAACTTTGACCTTTTTATAACATGTTTAATATTAACAAAGGTACATATACAAGGATTATTGGCTATACCTTAAACACTAAAGCTTACACCACAATGGTAAGGATCAATGGTATGTGAAAAAATTCAGAGTTTATTAGCTTTCTTTCATTAACGTTTTACATTTCAATTCGATCTTTACTAACCTTTCTCTTCAGTGGAATTGGCTGATACCAATATATATATAGACTTTTTCCTTTTCACTTGGTTTGAATATATGACCAATGTCAAGACAAGTAGAAAATTCGTTTCTCTACAAAAGAGGCAGTTGTCACTGGTAATCTAGGGAAAATAATTCAGTCAAAGATGAAAATAAAATTATTAAAGTAAGTAATGAACCTTATATAATTTGTTTCTAATCTTTGAATAATTATTGTTGTGTCATCCTGAGAGCACGATTGGTGCAGCTCAAATGGATCTGTACCAGAGCATCTTGCGCAGTAGTATGGTGGCTCTGCAGCTCACAACACTCTATGTTCTTATTTTATTTTTGGATTAGAGCATGCATATATTATCAGTTGCTAGATGTCATGATCAATCCCTATATTATATGTGAAATAAAAAAAAGAAGGAACACTCTATAACTCTAATCAGATGTCCACTGAAAAGAAAACAAATCACATTATAGACCAATACGTGTTAAAATTGTGTTGAAATAGAAAGATGAATAGAATGTTTCTGATAGAGATTACCCATGATAACAAAATGGTCAGGCACTATTTAATGGTTGTCAAGGTTGGATCTTTGTCTTAGTGAATAACAGTACATCTTATATCAGGAAAAAAACACTAAGATCTGATACACTATCAATTTCATATGACAGGAGAAATAAAAGCTTTAGAACGCACTCCTTTTTTTTTTTTTTTTTTTTCATGTTTCAGTTTGTTTTTCAAATCAGTTGTCAATGCTATATGCTTTTTACCAACATATGTTTTTTGTTTTTAATAGTATACGAACATAAAAAAAAGCCTCCAAACCTCCAAAGACAGTAGCAAGATCTTTGTTGATGGTAAGCTATTATTCTCTGAGATCTGTTTCTTTTTGTTTATTTCACATGTGTGGCTATTTATTGAAATTTGATTTGTCAAGAACTGGAGATGGTCTCGATTTTAAGGTTAAAATTGAATCATCTATGATTTTAAAATAATGGTATTTTTATTAAACCAATAACGATGGACGCATAGGTTATACATGCGGATTGTCACATTATTGTAGTTCTCAATTGATTTATGGTAGGCAGTCTTAACTCTTCGTCTATGTACCAATTATTTTTATTTTAGTGCTCAGGTAGAAATTACAGAGGAGATTATTTGTTGGAGATTTGAAGAGTAAAACTTAGCAACGCGGTACCGCTGAAAGTGTAATTGCTAATCAGGTGTCCACTCTTTTTTCCACATACTTTGGTTCAAAAGCAATATCATTTGAATGATGAAACATTAAGTTAGCCTCTCAAGTGAATTGTATTTGCCACTTCTCTTTTAAATGAATTTTAAGATCAGCTCCAGTCCATGTTTGTTTAACAATATTGTATCATTCATTATATAGTTTCACAAAGATCGTGCATAATTCTTGCTGAACTTGGTTTGGTTTTCTTTTGTTTAGGGATAGAGTGAACGAATCATAGTTTGACCAAGTCTTGAATAATGAATTGGGCTAGATCATTGAGGTCTCTTTGTCAAGTTAAATTTTCATTCGACTTTTTATTTGTAATGCTCGGTTCTTCACTCAAACATTGCTTATAAAGTGAACGAATTTGCATAAGTTTGAATACATTTCCAATCCCGCAGCAACGCGCGGGCACCGTTGCTAGTCTTTAAACTAATAGTAAAACTCACATCAGATGATCAGACTCTTTCAGAGGATGGCTTTATTCCCTAGGAATTTAGTTTCCCAATAACAAATAAGCTGCAGTAAGTGTGACATAATGCACACCCCATGTTTGTTAATCGCTAATATGCGAGAGAGTGATCTAGCAAGCAAAACCATGTTGCTCTTCGTCAAAAAGCCGCTTTATCAAGTTAAATAACATCTCGACTGCTACTATTGTAGCATACAGCATCCTAAACAGATATGCAAATTTGAAATGCATAAGTTATATTTATCTCTCCTGTTTTATATTTTAAAAAGATGTAAATATAAGTTTTATTCTAATTTTTTCTCTCACTACTAGAAATTTGGCTATAAGCCACCCTTTTCATTGGCCACCAAGCACCTACTAAACTAGAGAGTGTGACCTATGTAGAGAACTCAATTGTAACAATGGCCACCAATATTGCATTGGTGCCTTTCCTGCAGTGCCATCCTAATTCACATTGGTGGCAAGTTGCAAAATTATATTAAAACAAAAAAGGATGCCCTGTGCGGGCACCCAGATTTGAATAGGAATATTTCCTTTTATTTATTTTATTTTTTTGGGTGAGGAAACAAATTGTAAGATCCTTGATATAAGAATATACTACAAATTTGCATAATTGATCTTTTATACAATTTTGAACAAATGTTGGGATTCAGAACTTTGAAAAGTGTTTGAATCACTCTGTTTCCAAAGAGCTTAATCATGTCATGCCAATCTCTCTCTGGCGATCAAACCATTGTCTCTGCAGGTGGGATGTTTGAGCTAGGTTTCTTCAAACCAGGTCAGCTTTCAAACTATTATATATGTATATGGTACTCTAAGCAAGTAGTATCTGAGAGGACTGTTGTTTGGATAGCAAATAAGGAAATACCAGCCAAAGGCAGCAGCAGCCAGAGCAGATGATCATGCCGCGATGGGGGTTCAAACTAAACAGCAAAAAATTAGAGAGAATTGAAGCAAAGAAATATCCAAAAAATTACATTCACATATCCCAAAACAATATAAAACAAAAAAAAAAAATGGAACAGAATTCTGGAAGAAGATGAACAAATCGATGCAAAACTCTGCTGAACTGAATAAAATCAAAGGCAAGTCCTGATCGCCAAATTTCGAGCGCAAAGAGCTGATCGCTAGAAAGAAATACAAAAACACATTATTACTGAAGTTTTACTGCAGCTCATTAGCATAGGACCATGCAGATGGCTCTATATTTTTACACAAATCTGGAGGGCACCAACCATATGCTTAAAGGAACTTTGATTTGTTAGCATAACCACTTGCTAAGCAAATCTTGAGCATATTGATAAACCAGAAATTTAAACACGTAAGCGGCCAGATTGCAAGCATGAGACTTCCATACCTCAAATCGAAGGTGAGGTGCTGTCTAGCAGTCCAAACCTTGATCCTTGATAAATTGAACTCCTTCTTTGATCTAGCAATCCAAAAATTGATAAATTAGGCAGCATGTCATATCAATATAACACCCCTATACGTACACACACATACCAAAACAGCCTACATTCAAATTTGCATCATATCCTTGTTTCTAACTCTCTGGGGAATTTTCACAAACACCCAATAGGCAAGATTTGCTTCAATATAAAAGAAATCTGATTTAGTCAGTGATCTCAATTGCATGTATATCTGAACGACCATGTTTGCTAGTCAGTCATGTTATAGGATGTATTTAACACTTACCAAGCGGTTCCAAAACAACATCCTACATACATATTATGTTGCCAAACTATGAATCTAGACCGAACTTTCCTACTTTGGTAATGTAATCTCCTAGTCCAGTTACGATTTGGTTCTTGTATTTTGACCTGAAAACAATTTTCGTCCCCTAGAAGTTGCTAATGGCTCTCGAATTATAACTGGAAAAACACTCAGACCCTTGTATATCATACGTACCATTAAAAATTTGTTTAGAGATAAAAATGGTAGTCATAGTAGAGAATCCAACCTGACCAAAGAAAGTGGATTTCCTCACTTTCTGGTGCTAATATATTTACCATGCTTGAGACTACAAAAGCTTTATAAAAGCAGTTGCTTCTTTTTTAATTTATCCATCAAAAGTATTGCAACTGCAGATCCTGGGAATTTACAAGCAAGAGATAAAATGTGATAGTTGTGGTTAAGGAGAAAATCACCCTCTTTACCTTAATTTTTTAGAAGAACCCTCTTCACCTTAGTTTCACCCACAACCTTCCAAGGCTTCCATTCTTCTCGGCCCAGGTTGGAAACAACCTTGATTCACCTTCCTCGTCCCCAATCTTGGACATGCATACAGAAAATGGAATTAAAATTTGAAATCTAGAATCGATCCAAAACTGAAAGTTTTTATTTTGAGAAATCACTTACACTAGGGAACATCCACGAGGAGAGGATCATTTTTACCTCTTGGTTGCGGTCCAATTCAGGCAGACTTCACCGAAAATTGGCCGGAATACCCATGGTCACCGTTTCTTAGATATGAAATTGAGAAAATTCGGCTACAAATTTAGAGAAACTAACTTGAGGGTTGGAAAGAGGAAGGGAAGAGGATTCTGGTGCATTGGTGCCCAGTTAAGCACAAATGCACCAAAAAGTATTTTTAAGAAATAAAGCTATTCACCAATCATTGGTGTCTCTATGTTGAAGGCCACCCATATCAGTGGCATCCACTGTAAAGCCACCAAAAAATAGTAAGAGTAGCAGCTTTATATCTATGACCACCAATTGCAAAGGGTGTGCAAAAAAATGGTGTGCAATGAGCATAATTCTAGTAGTGTCTCATTAATTGACGAGGGTCTACATTCTAAATATGTAAAAAAAAAGTTATGTAATTTTATATTTTTAGGCCAAAATGATTATTTTACATTCCGTTTATTGAAGAGATTTTCAACCCAACAAAAAATGTAAAATGTACCTACATTTTGCATATTAAAAATGCTATTAATTAGAGTATTAAAGTAATTAATTAAATTAAGGAGTAGGTGTTCTGAGTTAGGTCATGGGGGATGGGTTGTTATGACTTTTTGCTCACGGGGTCGAGTCGACTACTTCACTTATCGAAGCTTGACCACTTCATTTGCATATCCCTCACTCCAATGCAATGCTTTGATCTTCAACTTCAATCTTCATGCTAAAAAGCGTAATTTATAAGTGAAAAAGCACGTGCTATTACAGCTTAGATTAGCATTTCTATTGGATTCACATTCAACTGGGTTGGTTATTAAATTGCCAGGTATTGAACAAAAATAAAAAATACAAAATAAAAAAAATAAAAAATTGCCAGGTACATTCTTGCATCTTATTATTCTTAATATCTTATCATGTAATTTGGTTTGATGATCGAAACTGCTTGTCTTGAGTCGAACTCAGTGTTGACACAAACTCGAGTTATTATATGTTGATAGAGTGAATTTAACATTAAGAAACCATGCATGTATTTATATCGAGTTAGGTTACTTCTTATATTGTTAATTGAGTGACATGAAGTACGTTTGACACAAATGACAAACCCGAGTTATTGTATTAGGATAGGTTAACTCACGTGCCACCACGTCGTTCAATATATATTGTTCACATGTTAGGCTCAAATGAACTTACATGTGAAGAGTTATATTAAGAGTGTGAAACTTAGATTAAAGAGTTAAGAGACATTTCCATGTATGAGTTAGACTACTCTCCGTATTATCAATTAATTTTATAATGAAACCTCAATTCCTTTATTATATTGTTAATAAATGGCTACAAGTGACTTCTGATTTTGTTAATATTTTGTAGAAATAATCTTTGAGGAATTACGCCAAAATTGAATGATTTTTTATTTAAGCTTTTACTATTATTAAGGACTAAGAGAAGATGGAGAGTTCGAAATTATTACAATAATTTAGGAAATGAAAAAATTTCAAACCTATAGCTCATGAGTAAAAACTTAACATCTTATTGACTAAGATATTATATGAATAACAAAGAATGTTGTAGAATGAAAAAAAGAAAAAGTAGCATTGATATATAAAAGATCAAGGTACAAAAGGACACCATCAACAATTCTCTTTTATGTTTAATAATGTGCAAAGCATCACTCAATAGAATAATTCAAGTGCTGTTTAGTCAAATTTACTGTAAAGTAATGAGCAAGAAGTGGTTTACGATTCGACTAAAAAAGAAAAAAGAAGTGGTTTACAAAGGCAGGCAAAGAAGCAAGGACAAAGGCAAAATCCACTGCTCAAGCATCTGAGAGTATCCTACCGCCGTACTTTATGGATTGAAGTAAGATTCTCTCTTATTTTTTTTCTTATTTTTTTCTTATTTGAACGATCACAGTTAAATTACGTTAACATCTTATATTAATTTTTTATATAAAAAAAGGACAAGATAGAAAATATGAATGAAAGAAATGGAAGAAGATAGAAAGAGTATGGAAGATAATCCTAATCTTTATGGATTAGGGTTTCAAAGGCTCCCTGTTAATTATTGTTAATGGAATTGTTGTGTTGTCCAATCTTGTGATTTATCTGTCCCTCTCAATCAATCAGTTTCCATACTCATCTGAAGTTTAACTGTTTTTCTTACCAAGTGATAAAGTAAATTTTTGACTCTTTTGATGATTTGCATATAATTTTTGGATGAAATGAAGCAAGAGGGTAACTGGAAGAACAAGCATCATTCTTTCTCAATGAAGGGTGAAATCAAGAAATAATTAATGGGGTTTTTTGAAATGGATTAAAGTAACTAAAAATTAGATATATTTTAAAAGTCAAAAGTCAAAAGTTACTAAAAATTAGATCTATTTTAAAAAGTAGTCTATAAAATTAGACCTATTTCAAATTTTCGTATAATTAATCTTTTATCTTGGGTAGTGCTATTTACAATCCTTTTTACTTTTTACATAGTCTTTTCAACTTTCGAGAATTAGATCGAATGAATTGAAAATAATCAATGATAAAAAATTAATAAGGTGTGTCAGATATAAAAATAAATGTATAAATAACGCTATCTTTTATTTTTCCCAAAGTTCAAGAACAATTTAAAATCCTTAGCTTGTAAAATATATCATTAATGTGTGTTATTGAGTTGATCATCCTCTTTCCATCGACCTCTCTTCTCACATGGCCTGTTTACACTATTTTTTTTATATACTTCTCTCTTCTTACTTTTTGTTTTTTTAGTAAATCGATATTTTACACTAAGGGAATAGAGAGTTTGGTTAAGCCACACAATGTGCAGCATAATTTGGTATCGAATTCACCATCTACAAGATTCGAACCTAAGACCTCTCACTTCAAAGTGAAGAGGAATACCACTAGACCGTAATACTAAGTGACTTCTCTCCTTACTTAATATCACATCACTTCTTTCCTAATTTGTTTCTCTATAATAGTCACTTAGTACTACGGTCTAGTGGTATTCATCTTCACTTGTAAGTGAGAGGTCTTAGGTTCGATTTTCGTCAAATGCGAATTTGAACCACATTATTGTTAGCCCATTGTGACGTTAAGTCTACCCCTCCCCCTTAGTGTAGATAATATCGCTTGTTAAAAAAAAAAAATTCTCTCTCTATAATATGATTTATTACAATACTATTTTTTAGAGAGGGAGGTAGAGAGACTAGGGCAATGAAACCGGTAACATGTAAGTTATTTTTGTTTTAATCAAAAGAACTTGGTAATATGTAAGTTTCTCTCCGAAGCAAGAGTAAATAGACTTGGTGAAAAAATTATTGAGGTTGACTTATTAGGGTCAAACAATCTTGTTGTAAACAAAAGATATAAATATATACATTTGAGCTAATTAAGGTTCAAGGAAACTAGACAGAGAAAATGATTCATAGGATACTCTTCTTTATTATAACCCCTCTTTAATTAAGACTTTCGAACAAACATCCTATTTGTTTATTACGAACATCCTATTTGTTTATTACGAACATCATGCATGCATAGGGTGGGTTCAATGTGGTTACCGTAAACGTTTATACTAACTACCATATTAATTTTTTTGATATGGCAAAATCAAGTACCATTATCATACCAAAATTTCGATATGACATAAAATTTGGTTTGGATGATATGATAATAGTATTGTACCAATTTGCTATTAAGTGTTGTAGTCATATTTAGAATAGGAATGTGATTGTGTAAATCCTAGTGTATGTAAGGATATCTTGGAATATTCCCTTTAGTAGTTATTATCCTATTAGAGTTATAATCCTATTAGGGTTAAGGATTTAACCAATCCTTCCTAAATACAGTTCAGTCAAATATGTTTATAACACGTTATTAGCACGCTCTTCTAGAAGTTAAGGAACTGAAGGATCGTAGGAGCTTGATGTTTCGCATTTACATGTGTTTGGATGCGTAGTCTATGTGCCCATAGCGCCGCCACTACGTACTAAAATGGGTCCTCATAAAAGAATAGGAATCTATGTTGGTTATGATTCACCATCAATTATTCGCTAGTTAGAGCCATTGACAGGAGATCTCTTTGGCGCACATTTTACAGATTGTCACTTTGATGAGATCATCTTCATGTCATTAGGGGAATATAAGCATGTTAATGTTCCTGTAGAACGTCGCGAATTGTCATGGTATGCTCCCACTATGTCTGATTTAGATCCCTGCATTGCCCAATTGAAACCGAAGTGCGTCGTATTATAAATCTTCAGAGCATCACTCAAAGCATGCCGGATGCTTTTACTGATCTAGCAAAGGTGACGAGATCACATATACCTGCTGCAAACGCACCTACAAGGATAGACGTACCTCGAGTACACGGTAATACCTTATGGGAAGGCCGAACTGTCCCCGAGGGTGGGGCGGCAGCACCTTCCACGCGGCCCGGTACATTGGTGAATAACCAATCATCTGATCCTACCCTGAAGCATGGCAAACCCTCTGGTTTAAAGGATTCACAACCCTGAAATAGGAAAACAGCACAGACTAGTGACCCTAACCCTAGTCTGAATTCAACCATTGCTCACTCATTTATTCCAACGCATGAGGTTATTCTAGATTAGAGTGAATTTTTAGATGAGATAACCCGACCCCCTGAGAATCGTGAGATTTCAGGCCACTACGTAGTATTGGATGAGGTTTGGAATCGGAATGAGATGATCGTCGACGATGTATTTGCGTACACAATAACTACTGACATCATGCTTAGTGATGACATTGAACCACGTTCCGTTGATGAATGCTGACATAGAATAGATTGGTCAAACTAGAAACAAACAATCTAGGTCAAACTCGATTCGCTTTGGGCTTGTAGCTCCTACTCCACCACATGTGAAGTCCGTGTGCTACAAGTGGGTTTTCGTGAGGAACCGTAATGAGAAGAATGAAATAGTGCAATACAAAGTACGCCTCGTAGCACAAGGCTTCTCTCAATTCCTTGGGATTGATTACAAGGAGACGTATTCCCCCGTAATGGACGTCATAACATTCCGCTACTTTATTAGTTTGGTAGTTTCCGAAAAACTGAATATGCAGCTTATAGATGTGGTAATCGCGTATCTTTATGGGGATCTAGATACAGAAATCTACTTGAAAGTTCCAGAAGGA